GGTGAAGCCCACAGAGTATGTCTCACGCCATACCATTGATGGGAAGTTTGTCTTTGTGGACCAAAGGCAAGTGGTGACCATTGGGTGCCTTGAAATGCAGTTTCAGTTTGAAGGTGCGGTCACATTTGCTTTTCAATGGGAATCAACACAAAAACTCACAGCGCCAACCAATAGCAAGACTCTTGGTTCAGAAGTGACCTCTGTGTGGGTGGAGTTTGGTAATTTAACAAGCAAAACTAAAGATCCACAGTGGATGAGGCACTCATTCTGGGAGTGTTTACTCACCACATTTAAATCTATAACATGTTCCATTAAGAGGCTGTTTGGAAAGCAGCTATTTATGGTTGGTTCGTTTGTTAGCTGGCAAGAATAGTTTTGGATTTTCTGCTTTCCTTCACATAGCAACGGTAAATGTGAGCACGCCTTAACTTGCTTCAATAATCTGAAACAATGCCAGTGCACTACAACATGTGACATGCTTGTATAATATGGTATACTTTTCCAGACTCAAAATTACATTAGTGTAAGATTTAAGCAAACTGTTAAGTGGTTGGTAGATGTTTGTTTTGTCTACTGATGGATAAACTGACTTGGATTATACGTTTGGTGTCCATACTGACCTTATGACCAATCTTTATGTTAGCGTGACAGCTTATTTGGTTTTGCGAGCACAGTCCAGGTCAATAAACAAATATAGCCATGGTGCAGATGGACACAAGGTCACGGCCTGGCTAGAGGCGGAAATATAGGGCACACAGTGCACCTAAAAATACAATGACAAAAACACTACTTGGCTTTTATATGTCAGCTGTACCTGTGAAGTCTTAATGTTTGTGTATGTGGTCTTAAAGTCTACTGTTAAACATACTGTTTTTGCTTATCCAGAAAGAAAAAAAAAGTAGAATGGGGGATTTCTATCCATTGTTTGAGAAATATTGCACTCAAAATTAGAGGCAGATCTAAATATGAGCTTGCAGTCAATTGTAAGAAAAAGAGCAGTAGAAAGAAAAGTAGAAAATTTAATTTGAAGCAAAATTATTTGAAAATGAGGTGTTCTAATTTGCTTGCTGCGACTGGTGCATCAAAAGCATATACTATTGATTAACAACATCAGAGATCACAACAGGTCTGTCTTTAAAAGTTTGAGTTATCATTAAAAATCTATTTCCCTTTGGAGAAAATAATTGGAGTTTTCAATTCTGGAACCCAACTCTTGAACTCTATATGTCACCCGAGAGAAGTCTGCTGTTTCTGTCGTTCTGCCATCATTCGTTTCACTGGAAGATCAGGTTACAATATTTTGATAAAATGGAAAAAAAAGAACAAATGCACAGTGTTAGATCTCGCTAACTCTCACTGAAAATTAACGACTTTCGGTCATTTTGATGCTGTCATTATGTACACCCTACAAAACGTATTGCTTTATATTAAGCATTAGAGAGAAAAAATGCGATGTTTGCACAATATTACTACCTGCTTACAAGCACTGTAAAAACACTTGTATTCTTCTTTATTTGACAGATGCCTCTGTTTCATTTTAGGGCCACAGCCATTCTAGCTTATCTACCTCAAGAGATGCTGGGCACGTCGTTCTATGAGTATTTCCACCAGGATGACATCGGACATCTTGCTGAATGCCATAGACAGGGTAACAGTAGAGCGATGCTCTCCATAAAGTGTAGCACGGCCAGATTTCTGGTTCTGACCTCACTATCTGTATGTCTCTTGTTTGCAGTGCTGCAGATGAGAGAGAAGATCAACACCAACTGTTACAAGTTCAAGATTAAAGATGGCTCTTTTATAACTTTAAGAAGTCGCTGGTTCAGTTTCATGAACCCTTGGACCAAAGAAGTAGAGTACATTGTCTCGACTAATACAGTCGTCTCGTGAGTGAACAACATCTATAATGATATAATATGTTGCCATATGTTCTGATGGTTTAGCTTACTAACTTGTATGGCCGTGTTTTCAGAGGCAGTTCTCTTGATGGAGCAGAGCCTGGTTATCCTCAGCTCACTGCTTCCCCCCAGAGTATGGACAGCATCCTTACAGCTGGTGACAGTAGGCAGATTTCATTTACTTTCCACATCCTAACACAACAAATAAACAAGTGACTGTTAAAGCATGTACTAACCAGACACAAAAAGTTACCTGCGACAAGTCATTTTTCAGTTCACCATCACAGCCAATCAGAACATACGGTATTTGTTTAATTATAGGATTTTGGGATTTTGAACCAATAGGATTTGATGTCTGTGGTCACCCAGATGATACAGGACCAACAAAAAGGATGACATTTCTCCCCTAAAACCATAGTTAAAATGGTATTAAGCATAAAGAAATTGTCTATTTTAAAGGGGTCATATGATGCTTTTTTAAAGATCATTAT